GACCTCGAGTTGTTTAAAGTTGTTCTTTGGACACAGTTCAGATCACAGCTTGAGCAGCAATGTTTAAAGTGAAGCAGGCCTCTAAGTGACTTCTATAAACTGTTTTAGATATTAGCTATGACACTGTTCAGTTATTTCAAGAACACCAATATTTTTAGCAGTTGGTCTCCTCTGCCTTCGTTGCCTTCATTGCCCAAAGGTAAATGGATGCAGAAATTCCCAGATTAGAATTTATGACATAAATGTACCCCTACTGATTTGATTTTTTATTTTCCTCGTTAAGTCCACATAATGGGAGCTGGCTGCTTATCAATGAGTAAGATCATGGAATGATTTAATGGGGGCTTAAATGAAAAGTAAGAGTTTTCATACTGGTGTGACACAAATCCTGTGTCCAATTAAAGCCTCAAAGCATTTTTTAAAAGCTGTATAAAAGGTGGATCATTTCTGTAAACAGCCCTTAAAGTGAAAACCCAACACCTTTGTTGTGGGAGAAGTAATACGATCTCAAATACCTCTGCAAACAAAGAGTCCCTTGCCTTCTTGGAGCTGCTCTCTCTTTTCCCAGCAGCTCAGCATGGGGTGCCAGAAAAATCATTAACGGGCCCATCTTGCACTTCTGGCTTTTCCACACCTGCGTATCACGATCGCTGCTGTAACTTTATGGACCGTGAGGAGGCAGGTTTGACGCCATGAAACACAGGCTCGGCTAACAGCTGCAGGATGGGCAGAAAGCCAGACAGTAAAATGTAAAGAGGAGGAAGGAGAGGGATCACCTTTGAAGTTTACAAAAAAAAGGCATGACTTTGACCACTTCCTTTTTTAATTAGCTGTCTCAGGTACATTGAGCCACCAGCTTGAATGGAAACTGGAGGGGGTTTGCTGGAAATGCTGGTGGTTATAATATAAAGGCTTATCTGCATGTGACTATTACTTTTTTAACCTTTTTTTCTCATTTGGTTTGTTTTTTATTTGATTTTGTTGTTTTTTGTTTTTTTTTTTTTGTTTAGTTTGGGTTTTGTTTGTGGTTTTTTGTTTGGTGGGGGTTTTTTTGTTAAGTTTAACATCCTAGCACAATATCAGGGAAAGAGTTTATTCTGTTGGGGAACGTCTGAACTACAGCTAAAATCTGTATCTTGCAAGTGTGAAAAACAACATTAATGCAGTGTTGAAAGTTAGGATTTTGATCACACTTTGGCCAGGAAATTCATGATTACCATTCCCATGGCAACCAGGACACACCTCCAGGGTACACAGGCAGAAGTTTTTTTATACATGTATCTAGTGTTAACTTTTGGTCAATATCCATGCAAACACCAGGAGGTTGTGTCTGATTTGCTTTCCTGTAGCTAAAAGCCAAATTGGAGGGATCCTGTAGAGGAATTGCAGCCTCTGTAGGAACCAAACTTTCCTATGCCCTCAAGACGCCTAAATTTCACTTTGCACTAAGATGTTCGTTGTACTCTCTATGCATGTTAAAGTGTGTTCAGAGAGAAAATACAAGCTATGGTTGTCATCCATGTAGGATCTACATAAATTTAACCTACAAAATTGTAAATCACATATACATACGTTGATGTTAATAGCCTATGGTCAGATCCTTATACATGGGAGTGTTTTTCCTAAGATGTACTCCTTGTACATCTTAGGCGTACACTGAAACGTGCTTTAAGGGTAAGGAAATCCATCTGTGCCCACAGAAGGAAGTGTAATTATTGATAATAAAAAAGGTGTGTATTGTAAGGGGGATTCAAATTGTGTCTTCTTGCCTATGCAGCGTTTGTGATATTTCATCGTAGGTGTTAAGAGACCTAAACACTCATAATGTTTTCAGATTCTGCTGCTGCAAATTTGGCAAAGGCATTCTTTAAATGGAAGCACACAACTGGAAAAAAAAAGGAAACCAAACATATTTTGAAGTGCTACAAATCCCCTAAGAAAGAACATGCAAAGTATGTCCTAACTTATAATTTTAATAATAAATGTAACATTGATACTCAGAACTGAACTGAGCTATTCACCAGGCTGAGAATTTCTATGAGGTGATTAACATATAATACAGTCAAATCCTAAATACATTCAGTGGGTATTGCTCATGCCTGGGAAAATTCATTTGGAGACTCAAAAAATCCTTCAGACTGCAGGGAGAGGAAAAAATCAACAAAATTATCTACTGCTGTAAAGCGCAGAGTGATCTCACAGTAAAGTCCAAGGGAATAATAGCAATGATGTAAAATTTCATTGTGATTTGTAAGTGCAATAGGTCTGAGTCCGGTTTCTGTTTGAAAGAAAGGAAGAAAGAGTGAGTAACAATGAATATGAGAATAAATCCACTGAATCCAGGTAGAAATGCTTTTTCCTCATACAGGAGCTGAATCTGGTGCAGCGTGCTGGTGTGTTTTAAAATGTTCAAAAAAAGGCAAAAGAGTGCACCAAGCTGTGTATCGTGTTATACACAGCTGGCTTGTATAATTTAAAATATATTTTGGAACCATTCTTTTCTTGTGATGTTTTTCGTACTATTTTTTTAAACAGAAAATTAAAAAAAAAAATATAACTCGAGTTTCTGAATTGTAGTGGAAATACAAGATTTAGTCCAAAGATAAAGAAACATTTATTTAATTTAGTTTAAGCTATTGTTTTATTTATTTTTACAGAATCTATTTTTAATACTCTAGTATATACTCTGGTATAATAACTCTGCCTGTCATTTCTTGGTCTTTGCTTTCGCTGTTTTCAGACATAATTAACAAAAAAGCATACCAGAGAGCATGCAGGCAGATGGCTCTCTCTAGGTGATACATCTCCCAGTGTAGGAGTGTTGATTTTATTTTTTAAGATCAGGTACTGTATATAGACTTTATGATGTTTCAGAAGTAATTTCTGTAGACTATTTAAAAAGGCCTGTCCAGTACTTATGGGTTGTTGCAGTTCTTACATTGTTAAGCACAAGACAATAAATGTTTCATGATATCATACCATAATAAAATAAGATGAATACATACCAGGTTTTTGTAGAGGATGGTAGAACTGACAGCTTAGCTCATAAGTTTTTTGTTTTATTTTATGAAAACTTTATCAAAACCAGCACATCTTTTGAAAGGATGAGGATCTTGAAAAATTATATTAACCGCTAATTTTTTTACGATTACTGGTTACTGGAACTGCAGAACTGGAAAGTTCTTCTAAAGAAAATATAATCTAATTTGCTCCCCTGCACAACACAGCTTCAGATAATACCAACTCATCGCTGAGAGATATTTGTCTGACAGCTTCTCAGGGACCTTCTCTCCCTGTCAAACTTGGTCCAGAGCCCCCCTTGTTCTTACCATTAAAACATATTTCTCAGTCTGGAACCTTAACCTTCTTCCTGCAACTTAAGCCCGATACAATTTGTGTTTTTTCCTATGGGATAACTAAATAAATAGAAAAAAAAAAAATTCTTTCCCACTATTGCAGACAATAGTAACTTCAATCTTTCCTTTTTAAGCTAATGTCATTTTAATTAATTGCATTTTCTAGACCTCTGTTCATCCTTATTGTTCTCTTCAACTGGTTGGTGTCCCTCTCGAAGCGCCTCACAGACAACTGGATGCAGTACTCCCCTTGAAGCTGTAATGCGGCATAGAACTGATTTATTAATGTTTTATGATTTCCAGGCCAGAGCTGTGCTCATAGTTCCTCTTGCAGTGTTTGGGTTTGCTAATCTTGCAACCCTCAGTAGCCACTCGGCTCTCATCTCTGTAGAGCTTACTCTCTAACTAAATGTTTTACAGCCCGTCTTCATGCAGCAGATTATTCTTGCCTATGTGCACTGTCTTGCATTGTCTCTGCTGGACAGCCTGCTGCTTCTTCAGACCATGCTTCCTATTTGTCAAGATCACTTTCTATTCTAAGTCCAGCTCCCTGGTACCCTGTTCCCACTTGGTGTTGTCACAGATTTAATAGATGCATCCACTACTCTGTCATCCAGGTCACTGCATAATGCATTACGGACTCTGTTTAATACAGGAGGAATATAAATATATCTTGTCAAAAGGATTAAAGATCTGCGTAGTGGTTCTAATAGCGGTTCTCAGAATACTAAATCAGGAACTGCAACAGTGAAGTGTGTGGATGTACAAGTACTTAAGGACTAGAAAAAAAGGGTTGGGAAGTAATAGAATAAAAAGCAACAAGATCAGTCTTCCTTGTAGAAATACAGCTCCACTTCCTAATAATGTAGTAGCATGTCTAGTGACAAATCTAAGTATCAAATTGAAGATAACAGAAATAATTCTTCTCTTGAGGCTGGCCTCACTTTTCCCACGCATCTTTGTTCCAGGTGGTTTGCGAATGTCGTCAGAGTGAAAGTCTAAACCCTGCCATAGTTTTTCTTTTTACACTGCTCTAGAGACTGGGTTATGCCTGTGTTGCCTTCACCAGCTGACTGCCCTTTTTTATGCTGACATAAAGGAGAATCTCTATAAGCTATTCCCAGGTGAACCATAACTGGAGTTGTAACTTGCTTTCCACTCTCAGGAAACTAGAACTGAGTTCTGTAATGTGTGGATGAGAGAGACTACTTTTCATAAACACAGAAATGTATTTGTTATCCTTTTGGTACCTTGCAGCCCTGGCAACAGGGATGTCCCTAAGTCCCACAAGGTAAGGAGAGCAGGTTGTATTTGGTTTGGAGACTGTCCAGGAATTCCAGCATGTGGTGAAGATGGAGAAGGGTGAAATAAAAGGTGTTTTTCTTCACATCAGAACTGAATGAGTGCTGAAGTAGACTGCAAGCCACTGTGCTGTTTCACTGTGTAATGCTTTCAATGAGCATTCACATGGGTTTTGTTTCTCATTTTAAAATGTCAAATTCTTTCTCAAGGTAAGAATGATGGGGTCTCATTGGAAGGTGCTGAAACGCAGTTGGCAGTCTGCAATTCCTATTTATCCTGTTGGGTTCACTCTTTGCTATTTCTGTTTCACACTAAACCTGAATGTTGGATCATGTCCTACAGCTGCCACTTTCTGGGCCCTGTAAATTGCAGAGAAGACCTGAAGAGCCTTGGGAGGAGGTGAGTTCTCCCAGCAAAACTTTAGAGCAGCTCTCTGCTTTTCTCCTCACTCCCTCATCCCCTGCCCCAATAACAACAAAAAGGGTTTATTTGAACTCTTGTAATTACATCTGTCTGGGAGAACAGCCAAAGTGTCAAAGTACCAGAATGAAATTCAGATAAGTCAAGATCAAGTAGGGACTTGAAGGGGCAAAAGTGGAAGTAAAAAAAAAAAAAAAGTGCTGGTCTTCATCATGGTAATCCTACTGAAGCCAAGCTGGAAAAGCTCAGACAAGGGGCCGAGTTACTGTGCTGTAAACTGTTTCCTGCCACTGGGCTTCACCAGGCAACTTTGTTGAGGAAACCGGGGAGCCGCTCCGGCTGGTTCTGGCTTTGGGGAAGCTTCCCAGACCGCTGGACTCCCATCCTTCGGGCACTCCTGGTTCTCACTCCCTAGAGGTGAAGGAGCAGGAAAGGCTGAAGCAGCAACGGGCTGAGCGTCCCCCGCAGGACCGCAGACGGCCTGCGGGGTGACCGTGGGATCGGGGGATGCTGAGGGGCACCGGGAGCGCCCATCGGAACCCGGACAGTGAGAAAATTCCTCAGGCCAGGGTCCAGGAGCACCGCAGTCTCCCGCCTGTGGAGCTGCCCTGGAAGCTCCATGCCCCCGGGGCATCAAGCCCTTCGGGGGTGCAATCAGGCTTCTAATCAATTAGGCAAATTGACTGTTGGGGCAAGCGATTTCCTATTCAAGGCAACCAGCCTGGATTACTTTAACTCCATATTTCCCAGGAGCCCTGACCTCCATGCTCTTTTCAGGTGCATGAAAGACAAAATTATGAAAAAACAGAGGATCTTCTAGTAACAAGAAATATGTTCTGTCACTGCAGAAAACAAAATAATTCAGTTAAGTGCGGGAGAATTTTGTTAACCCTTTAACAAAATAATAATTTTGGATTCATGGAATCATAGAACAGTATGGGCTGGAAGGGACCTTAAGATCATCTGGTTCCAACCCCCCCACATGGGCAGGGACACCTTCCACTATTCCAGGTTGCTCAAAGCCCCATCCAACCTGGCTTTGAGCCAGTGTCAATTCAAAGGTGAAGGGATAAATATTCCAAAAAGCAGGTAGGAAAGCATTTGCTCTTTAAATCCCAGTCATCCAAAGACACAGTGCACATGAGTAATCTCACAATTACCCGCAGAACTAGTGCTGTATGTATGTAAACCCATTGGTGCTACAAGCATTTATGACATGCTGCCTACAAAATACAACTTCAAAAATTCTGAGGCCAGAAGTTCCAGGTCAATGTTAAGATGCGCTTGCCCTCTATATCCCTCTGTTTCATAGCAGGGATATATTTTTACCAGGCTGTTCAAGAAATTCTGCGTAAACAAGTCATGGAAGTTCTAAAGGCTCTTCATAACTGCAGGCATAGTGGAGGGTCATGGCCATAGGATGTCACATCTGTTGTTCTTAAACAGTATTTTACATATACCAGGCTATTAGTTTGCTATTTCAAGAATTTTATTCAGTATAACTTCTTACCCAGTGAGTGTTACATACGGGACAGAAATGGCAGCCCACACAGTACTGTAATCAGTTACTTTCAGTGCAGAGCTGAGCAGCCCACCAAGCATATGGCCCTGCTCTTGCTTCTGTACACTCCTACCAGTTGCATTAGTCTCACTCTAAGTGGAAGGCAGAATGCTGAAGGTGGTGTAAATGAGTCACCAACACCAGTAATTTATGTATAAAATGTGGATCCTGCATTAAGAATGCAGCCCAGCTCCAGAGCCTTAGCTTACAGCTGGTCCTCAAGTCACTCAAGAATTTTAGAGATCAAATAGCTTTGTTAGAAATAAAATGCTTTGTTGATTTCTTTTTGGTCAGACTTTCTTCCTTCAGGAGGCAAGGGAGCTGCTGGATTCATACACAAAAGCAAAATAAGGAGCTCTGAATTTGCCAGCATACACATATAAAAATTCAAGATTGCCTGCAGTCAAAAATTGCTACTCAAAGTCGTTAATGACAGTTGATGTATTAATTGCAAATTAATACCTGAACTTTACATGTATAAAAGTGATGCATATTAAACATTTAATCTCTCTACAGGGATTCCAGTATGGTAGAAAACTGTAATTTAACCATAGGGTTTTTTTTCATTTGGATTTTTTGTTGTTGTATTATTTCCGTGTCTAATTCAAGTCATTCATGCGAATAGAAATTACAAGTAATTAAATATCAGGTGTTATACAGTATTATGAAACAACATTGAGCCACATATGCAAATCCCTTTAAGTAAGCTCACATTTTATAGCAGTGTTTATAATGATGACAGTTTATAATAATCACAATTAATTCTTAATATTGTTGATTTCTTTTTTTCTTTTTCCCTACCTTACAGAACTTCTAAAAGGATCAAGAAATATTTCCAACATGAAAGACACCTTTCTTACCTGCATCATATATATCATCTTGCCTGCCTTAATATGGCATCATCCCAGAGGTCAGTTACTGTCATTGTATATGAAGATATTTAATTATATCTTATATGAAGACATTTTCAGGTCTTCTGAATTTTATCTAAAATGATAAATAGATCCACTGTTTAGCAGATTTCTGTTGAATTCTAGAAGAAGTTATTATACTAACATTTGTTTTGCTGCATTCCTTTTTGTTTCCACATTAGCAAAAATGATGACAGTGGTTTATTCACAGTTGTTAATCAGTGAGTGCCAAAATGATGGAATAGAAAAATTTCACAAACATTAAAAGTAATTAAAATCAGATGGCTCTACTGCTCCCATGTTTATCATGTGCTCAAAAAAATTAAGAGACTAGTCAGTTAGGTACCTGAAAAGCTGATTAAACTTCAGATTGATTTCCCCACATGTAGCACCAAATTTCAGCAAACCAAGGTTATAAATTTGCTGTGTTTCATGAATTAATACATTTCTGTTGGACCAACAGGCCTTAGAGACAGAGAACCAGATCAACACTTAAAGAAAATCCCAGTCACGTTAAGACCAGATCACTGTATTCCCATTTCAAAGTCTTTTTTCAATTACCAGAGCAATAAAATAGCTGTATAATGCATCTTGATCTAGGCAAGTGAACTGGAGGATCAGAGTGGCAACTTGAATTTTTTGTTGTTAAAAAGTCCTCTCTTTATGGGACCCCAAACTTGTTTAGGAAGCTGAAAGACCTCATTGAAAACATCTTGCCCGAGCTTTTCAGAAACTTACTTAGGAATACAAATGGCTTTCCTGACTGTAATATTGCCTCCTGAAGATGGCGAGCAGCTATAGTGTTTTGTTGGTTCCTCATGCTTATGAATGTTTTTGTCAAGGACAGATTCACAGTAGAGCTCCATTTTAAATAGGAAGCTAAGTTATTTAAAATTGACACCTAATCCATGTATCCTTTTCTGTGCAAGAAAACATGTTTCCATACTTGAGCTCTGATGAAGCAGTTGCTTTTATGACACTAGAATCTCAGTCCTCCAGAAAAGCAGCAGACCATTTGTAGCATTGAGGGAGAACCACCACAGGCCAGGTACGCAGAGGCACAGCTTTTCAGAGTAGCTCCACATTTAGATCCCAGGCTTGCTGTATTGTGTAAGGGACAGTGATTTGGCAGCAATGATAACATCTGCTATTTATTCAGAAACCGATTATTGCTTTCCTCCAAATGTGTTTCTCTGTTTGGTGCTACTTGGAGCAGGAGGCTGGAGCAGAACAACCAGTTTCTAGCTCTTGAAAACGCATACAGTGTCCACAATCTGGTTAGTGATCATATGATCGCAGATTGCTTATCTGCATTATGCTTTTTTTTAATGTAAAGCTTGCAAGGCAAAGTAAGGACTAAAGCACCTTTCTAGAGTATTGCTATGGGGGTAGGTGGGTCTAAACTAAAATTAATTGCTTTGTGGTGAAAGCTTGTAGCAGACAGGTGGTAGGTACCAGAGGCATGGAGTTTGCACACAGGAACCTTTGAAACTAACGTAAGGCTGAGTTCAGGACCAAGGTAGCAGAAATCTGGTAATACTGAGTGGTACTTTATGGGCAGACAAGGACCGCAGGGTAACTGCCCTCTGGTGCTTGTAACTTCTTGTTCTGAAACTAAGCAAAGTTTTTATTTTAAAGATTATTTTGAAAAATTGCACTTTGGCAGAGCTGGTGTTAAACTGGCCAGAAGACTGGAGGGGCAGGAGTTCACACCTTCCGTTTGCATCCTCTCCTGTTCTCCACAAATTTTAATTGAAAGAAATTAAAAGAAATCACCTGCAAGAAGAAAAATAAATTGTAAGTAGTTCTGGATGTAAATTTCATGGTTTGGTTACTGTAAAGGTTACAAAGTTGTATTTTCAAGAACTAACCAGAAAGAACAAAAAAAATCAGACTAATTTTATTTTTTTAGATCTTCAAGACTTTATAATTGGGGTTAATATCAGTAGATAACCAGTATTTACAGATAAGCTTTATGAACAAATGATAGGATCTTAGGTAGCAGAAAATAAGCTGGGAGAGCTACTTGCTTTTGAAAAATAATGAACTAAAAGTAAGGCTTAGGTTTCTAACAGAAGACCAGTTTGCATATATGAGTCTGAACTGTAGAATAACCAGGATCAGGATTAAACTCATATTTTGATGGTATACCAGAAAAGGGAATGCTGGATATTTGCTACTAATAAGATAGCCAAAGGGAAAATCTGAGGGTAAAGACCAATTTTGTTCAAAATAGATTACTGGTATTTTTTTATATATGAACAAATATTATACTGTCTAAAATAAGAATCGTTATTTCAAGTAATAAAATAAATGTTTCTCTTGTTTTGCTAACATTTTACAGAAAAGTAGCAAAATAAGCAAAACCCATGAGTGGGTTATGGTAGCCTTAGACTGTGGAACGTTATTATTGAATTCAAGGATGTATGGCTCTTCTTAAGAAAAAAAAACCAGCACATATAAACGCTGTTCTTTCACAGGCTTCTCTTCCACTATTTCTTCAATTATTTCTTTATACTGCGTACTTAGCAAGCAGAGTGTGCTAGAGGTATTAACTATACATGCTACTCTGGCAGAGCAAGCCCACATAAAACAGTAGTTAATTTTGTCAGCATTTACCTTGCCTATTTTTAAGCCCTTCATTTAAACATCTAACCTTCTGCCTATCTCATCTATCCACCCTCTGTCACTCATGAGGAATCAGGGCTGGCTAACTCAGAACTGAGTTAGCCCTGAATCTCACTCATCATGCTAACTGGCAGAAACATACTTTTTTTATTCATTCTAAAATTCAGTCTAAAACTATTATTGAGGCTTTAAGCTGGTGAATAGTTCTAATAACTAACAGATATTATCTGGTTCCTGTGGGAAAGATACATTCAGTTCTGAGCATGTTATTGTTACCATATTTTAGCTCTGCAGTATTCTCTGAGGGTGCAGAGTTTCTTTTCATTACTCAAAACAGTTTTGTGTTTCTTCTATCCCAGGGTGAATCACTTATTTCCAAGAAAATATAAATCACCAATTGCCACTGAGAAAGTGATGGAGTAAAACACATTTTTGGTTTCGGCCAGAAAGAAGAGCAGGGAAAGCACTGCAAGAGATATGTAAAGTTTTCAATGAATTGACAAATTAAGATAACAAAGTCACAGAACTGTGAGTGTATTTTCTCCACATGATGATTTGAATCAGTGTATTTCCTAGATTACAGCCATTCTTGCAGGAAACCCTATCTAAAGTTTATTTTGACAAGAATAATATTAGTTCCTGTGAGTAAAGTGCCCATATTCTTTCATTCTCTGGCTGAAAGCAGAAACCTGATCTATAATAAACAATAAGGTCTCCAACGCCTTTTTCCTTTGTAACTGTGATTCAGAACAATGCAGTTCTTAAAGTAATCACACATTCAAATACAAGTAGGTGTGAGCTTTCAAATATACTGAAAGTGAATATTCAGAACATCACATCCTGGTGTTTGCTTCTGATGTTAAGAAAAACCTGCTGTGCAAATCAGGATGCATGCTTTCAAAAGTCTATAACTTCATTATTTTGAAGCCAGATTTCTTCAAATGAAGCAAGGCACATATTTACCTTCCAGGGATTTCTGCCACTCGTGCCAACTTTGATACCCTTAAAAAGAACTAATTTTGAGTTTCCTTGCATGTAAAAATGTATGCAAAACAAGTTTCACAGCGTCTTTTTAAATAAATTTGTTTAGGTGTTCTGCAGGAACAATTTACTAACAGTTTATCTCCAGTTGAGGCAGAGAAGTTTTGATATAGTGAAGAGATGTTCTAAATAAATGGAGATAAAAAAAAGAATTTACTATAATAAAAAATTTATATCTCATGTAGTTATTTTGCGAACATAGCAATATGCTGAAGACATTTAAATTAGGTCTATTAAAGTAAATGCTTATAGCAAGCCTTTTCAGAGGAGTTTTTGATGTAACTTACAGTCCAGAGCATCAGAAATCCAGTTGGCAGTGCTTTAGCCCCACAAGAAACAAAACTTGTGCCTTTGACCCTTCAAGAGGTAGCTCTGTGCTGGCATGTTGGTCTTCATTTATTCTACGTCATCATGTTCTGTTCCATAACTCTGCTGTAAAAAACCTGGAGGCTTTGTCCAATTTGTGATCAATATAAGAGAGATCACTCAAGTTGAAATGTGGAAACACACTGAAACTCCAACCCTACTGCCTGTGTATAGGCATGGTATTAATGCTTTTCCCCTAAAAGGAAGTATTATGAACTTTAAAAGTAAAGGTTTTAGAATGAGATCTGATGAAAAATGAGAATGCATGAAATTTGAAACATTTTCTTTTCTCTGAGCAAAAAAAAAGTAAAATATTTTGGTGTCCTGTTTCCCCCAAAAAAAGAAATCTCAAGATTCAGTCTGGCAATAAGAAAGCTGCAGTTTGACTTGAAAACCCAAGAAACTCACTCAACTAAAACACAGATGTTCTAGGTTCAGATTGTGTTATTTTAGTTTGTTGCAATGACGCCCCGTAACTCTGGGTCAATTTAGCGTTAACCTGTATTCTTATTATGTTCTGTTGATTCACAGGGCCTGTGACTTACATGCAAAGACAAGCACAGGCTACCTCTGCCAGATGACCACAGCAAACCAGCCTTCTGTGCTACCATCACTAATGAAACCTCCAGAGTGTTCTCAGGGGAGAGACCTCATTTCCTCATACGCAAATATACGATATGATGTCCAGCCAAGGGAGCCACAGTGGAAATAAACCCCCATTGTTACATAGAGTTTGGCTCGAAGGCAGGCAGGCTCCAAACATTTAGACTAAATCATAGTATTAGGACTCAGATTTGACTTAAAACCAGCTTTTTTTTTTTTAATCTATTTTTTCCAGTCCATATTATACATGTTTTGTGAAAATATTTACCTCTGCAAATATTGCATTTTTCTCCCCTCTTAAATAAGTAGCGATGTACTAAATTATTTTTGAAGAAACTAATATAACTACAGTGATGATAAACC